ATGTAATGTGATAAAACAAGCCTCTGTGTGACCTTGATTTTGTAATAGGAAAATATTACTGTGGCCTGCTGCCAAAGGATGATGTGGAGTGTACATAACGCTCAAATCCTGTCTGAGCTTAAGCTTCTTAACAGTTTCACAAGAACATGCTGCTCATGCTGCCTAAGACACATTGGTTTGTGCAAGTCAAACACAAGAATATCTGAGAAGATATTAAAAAATTATGTGTAGAAAAATCAAATATCAGATACTGCTCAGCATGGTGTACAACTGTTAGATGAAATCGGTGTAATGATTCCTCTAGAAGCAAATATGTGAATTACATTTACCTAGATAGTATTAGACCTTTGTAACACTGTGACTGAACATACAGTAGAATATCAGATACCTAGATAGTATTAGACCTTTGTAACAGTGTGACTGAACATACAGTAAAATATCAGATATTTGTTAAATAAATGCCCCATAGTCTCTTTTCCATGAATGGAAGTAAACGTTACATGATGTATTAATGCACTTGGTGTCTAATGCTGTAAACTTTATTCATTCAAGTATTAAAGCAGTTGATGCTATACAACATGTAATATTCTTGGAGTTCAGTTCCTTAATAAAGTCTGTAGGAGACAAGGCAAGAATATCTGATAGCAATGTCGAAAACAAATTTGAATTGGAAAATAACAACAAGACATTGGACTGCTCAGGATAATCCTGACAAACAAAGTCTAGATGGTTTTCAAACATCCGTAACGACATAGTCGCGTGTTTGATAATGTTTTTCTCTTTTTGCAAGGAATGAAATGAAAAACATGGCATGAGAGTGAGTGACTGCATAGAAGATATTTTAAAAGATAGGTTAGGCAGAAGCTTGGATGCATTGCCAGAAGGTGACAGTCTTGTTGAAGCCTGGATATAGTCCATTTTGTATTGCAGCAATAGCAAAGGCTAGTGCTGCTGCCTTTCCTAACAGCTTAAATTCTGAATCTGAGTCAGTTCAGAAGGAATACAGAATAAATACAGAATAAATTTGAAAATGAAGCTCTTTGTCCATCAAAGAGTCCATCCATTTGCTATTCTTGCAAACCGAAATGTTGCTACCTTTTAACCTCGTGCTACTGGCTTTAGTCCTGTTAATATTACAGAGTCAGGGTGTCTGCATGATGTGATGTTTAGTTTTGACTGTTTTTGTTAACAGTTTTGTTAACTATATTAACAATTAGCTATTTAGCTTTTGAATTTCTATCTTGATGATACCTGCTTATTTCAAATAGCATCTTAGTTAAAATTATGGTCTGTGCTATAGGAATCAGTTTCCGACAGTCATTGCTAAGATGCAAAGGGGGAAAACATCTATCTTAGAGTTTTGGATCTCAAGCAGGCTTTTCATAATTTGCAGCAGGGAAGGCAGTGGTTTGGAGTTAACAGTTATGTAAACTTCTTGTAGAGATTGTGGCCATCAAAAGCTTGCATGAAATTTCTAAATATTGTTAAAACAATTAGATATTCTTGAGCAAAAATCAGGTGTTTGATGCCCTCTAAGAGTGTTGCTTGGTGACAGGTGTGGTGTTCATGTATTTAATGTTAAGCATAAGCATCTTTTTTTCAGGAAAAAAAAAGCCTTCTATCTCCTTCTGTCACCTCCGTCGCATATGGACCTTACGTAGTTCGCTACTCTGAAATTAATGGTGGATTTTTTCCTTCTTTTCCTTGACTCGGAGAAGGTTAGGACCAGATGCAGAAATCTGAACTGAATCCTTATCTGATAAAGTAATTTGTATGTCCTGCCTGTGCCTTTTTGGTGAATTCATGTCATGTTCTACTTATTCAGCATGATGGAGAAAGTACTTCCCTTTTGCACTGTTAGGTCGAGAGGAAGAAGTTGCCTGAGATTGGATACTTGGAAACATGAGCTATTCCTACAGGGAGAGACTTAAGTAGCTCACAGCAGTAGTGCCCAGGTATATTATTTTAGGTAAAGTGTAAGAGAGTTCAAACTTAGCAGCTGCTCTGGAGAAACTGCCCCAAAAGTTCATGTACTGAAAGTAAATGACCCTTTGAGAGGAAGGTTTTGTGTTTGGTTTCAGTTCACAGACTTATTTTCAGTGTACTGGTATTAAGCTTAAAAAGGAACATATTTATGCGCATTTTGCTGTGTCTCTTTGGAGAGAACACTCAATTTAGCCTAGTCTGTGCTAAAATGCTGCTCCTAATTATGCTCAGATGTGCGTACTGAACAAAATGTGCGACCGTTCCCATTCTGCAGTGAGTGGCCGTGCATGGATTCATGGAGTTAGAATAACTCAGAACTATTTTCCATTGCAAACAAGCCTTACCAGTTGAAGTGCAACCTTGAAAAACTAGATCTATAAAACAGATCCCAGAGCAGTTTGCACTGACAGGGCTGAAAATGATGAATACTCGTTCTTCTGTTAACATGCTTAAAAATGCATACGTGTGTCAGATGTCTGGCTATGTGTGTATGTTATTACTCCTCCCTCAGTTGACATTGGTATCTGATAGATGCAATGCAATGTATCAGCATCATGCTAAAGATAAGGCAAGTTCTCAAATTAAATATGGTCCCATGAAATAAGTATGATGTAGAAAATCGTTTCACGTAAGAATGCAGTAGCAGATAGGAATGCTGCAGTTTTGAAAGGTAGGATTTTTCCTTTATATTCAGAATGTTGGGTATTTTGGTATATCTAAACCTAGATGTTATTTAGCATGAAATTAACCATAGTGAAGTTTCGGTGCTGCTTCTCTGTATTTTGGTATATCTAAACCTAGATGTTTAGTGTGAAATTAACGATAATGAAGTTTCGGTGCTGCTTCTCTATGCCTTAAACTCATAAGGAAAGAGATGAAAGTTCTGCTTATGACAAGTACTTGTTTCAGTTGGAAGTTTCTTGGTAGCAGTTTTATCTAGAAGCAATGATATAAGAAGGTTCATTTTTTAATTGAGCAAGGCAGGTCTATCTAAGGATTTCTCATACAAGTGTTATTAACATTTTAATGAAAAATGCCTTTGAAGACAATACTGTGGGTTCCATTTTTTTGCAGTACACCTTGTTAAGCACATCTGGTCCAATATAAATATTCCAGTATGCTTAAATTGCATATTTATTCCGAGTAGCCCAATCATTCAGTTGCAAACTGAATCCATGTTCAGAAAGTCAAAAATGAGTTGTCTTTTATGTTGCATTACATAGACAGCATGAGGTCAGTGGAGTTTAATTTACTCTATTATCTTTGAACAATAGGTTATGGGGAACAGAATTACTGCTCAAGCTGTGGTTTGGCTGCCTCTCCTTGCTTTTGTTCTGCTTTAGTTTAAGTGTGGTTGTGTAGTTGTTCTGAAAGGTGTTTTTTGTCGCTCACCTCTCCTCTCTCCTTTCCTACGTGTATTTAAGAATCTGAGGCTAGGTCATTCCGAACAGCGATGCTTAATGCAGACAAACAGGTTAATGACTCGTGTTACTTGGTTTTTAAACATTAATAAAACAGGCTGCTTGCAGGTGGTGCACTCAAACGTTGCAAGGGAGGGCACCGTTTGCTTGCATTTGACGCTGAGCTACGACGAAGCAGCAACTGTTTGCTAAGTACATGAGTTTGCTGGAGGATGAAACGCAGGAGCAGCAAGAGATGGTTAAGAAAGATAATTGAGGAGACTTTGAAAGCCAACAAAACAGAGATTAAATAGTATTAAGGGCGAGTTTCGGGCTCTTGGAAGTGAATTGATGACTGGGTCAGTGCATGTAATCTCCTCGAAGAGGATTTTGCCAAGTCCAGGCTGGAGGCTAGAAGTGGTGTCTTCTTCTTAACCTATTTGGTAATAGCATAAAGACAAATTGAGAAAAGAGAAGCAACTGGGATGCAAACTGAAGGATGGCAGAGTAACCTTTTTCTAAAAGGCAATAAGGTTTTTGGGGGAGGAATATTTAGGAACACTATGTTACCATTTTATTTCATACTTTTTTCTGGTGTTCTGTGATACCAAATCTCCTGTTCAAAGGCATCTGGGAAACTCTTCCAGTTTTTATCTTCATAGTGATTTGTGAGGTATATGTGAATGCACGTGGAAACAAGATACAGATGGATAAGATAAGATTAATGAAATAAGATCTGTAATTATTTATTTATGGTCTAGGAACTTAGGGCCAAAATTCCATTTAATGGAAGCATATGTGATTCTAATCTGTTTCTTTAAATCTCTATTGCATAGTTTCTAGTTAAATGAGTATACACAACTTCTTTTCTTTAAACAGCATGCAGCATATCTTGCTTCATGGTATCCCTTCCTCCTTCCTGAATTTAGTGTTTTTGTTTTTGTTTTCTTTTAAGTGAGAAAAGCGGATATTTAAGTTTTAGAGGCGTTACATACAGGCCAAGTTGTCAGCCAGGAAGTTGTTGTATTCTCATGTCCTGGCTTCTTCTATCCCGCCTTGCCTGCTTTCTCTTGCCTTTTTGGGTTGAGTCATGCGTTTTTGGCACGTAACTCACAGCCAGATGATTTTCCTCCCAACTTTTTATGTATTATTTTGATTTATTTTTTCCCATGGAAACTCAGAGGTAATAAAGTGTGTTAGATAAGCATCATTTAAATCACTATGAAACATAAAGAAAGAGTTCATTTTTCTGCTCTTTGCCTTGGATTTGGGAAGAAATAAAAACAAACTTTCAACTTTAGAATCCATGTCTGTCATCAACTATGGAACCTGCAAAATAGATCTTTATGTGTGTGAGCCTGTCTCAACATGTTTCTTTCGGGAAATCTGAAGACTTTGTCAAACTTTTGTAGCCTCCCCCCCCCCCCCCCTTTTTTTTTTTTTTTTTTTTTTTCCGCTTCTCCCTTGTCTTATTTGCTTGTTCATTAAATAATTCAGATGAGGTAATTTGTCATAGCCAAAATGCGTGACTCTGTTATAAAAAGAGTGTTTTTATAAATAAAGGCCAGAAACTAACTTTGTTGTCTTTCATTTTTATTTTGCAATTCTCCGCAGATTTCTACTTCAGTGTCTGGAGGATCTTGATGCCAATCTACGGAAACTGAATTCTCGCTTGTTTGTTATTCGTGGACAGCCAGCAGATGTTTTCCCCAGGCTTTTTAAGGTAAATGCTAGAAATGGGCAAAAAAAATTCCAATTAATTTTTTTCTACTTTGCTTCCACCCATCACAGGGGTTTCAGCTAGGGATATTTCTTGGTCTAATACAATTTAACACAAGTTCTGTGATATGTGAACAATTAACTATCTTTGCAGGTTATTTTGTTTTGGGGAAAGGCTCTTATCAAATTAAAACTGCTGAGGATTGTTAGTGATATACTATTGGCCAGGAAAGACAAATCAAATGTTTAAGGCAACAGTATTACAGTAGGGTAGTAAAAGTGAATACTTTTAGATTTTTAGTACTAGATGAATCTGTTTACATTTAACTGCACAGGAGATTACTGGACCTTCAGAATATTACCTAAGAAGGCAGTAGTGTATAGCATGCAAATAAGAATCTTTGAGTCCATTCTGGTTCCTCAAAATACCAGAAAGTGTCTTTATCATCTGTATTTTAGTTCATAGGGCTTTTCAAGTTCGCATGCTCTAACTTCAAATAGGTAAGAAGCATACGATTAAGCTTCTGAGGGCTTCTTAACTTCTGACAGGAGACTATTGGGAACATGCACAGGTAGAGCTCAGGCAAAGAAAGGTCTGGAAGGTTACTTAGTAAAAGATAGGTGCACCAGGCACATGTGGCAGTGCAAAACGTGTGTAACATTGTGAACCTGATGTTTAGGTTGTGCTCAGTAAATGTCCCTCAGAGGTAACTGCTCTGATCCTGGCAAACATGAGCAGATTTTTTTTGTGCCTTGAAGAGGATAACTTTAAGTATATCCTGATAGGTGGTGGTAGGTGGAACTTGTGTAGAATTGTCAGGCACCCTGTTACAAATCCCTGAGGATGAATGTTTTGCAACAGTTTTGTGATAAGGCTGCTCCTTGCCCAAAGCCAAAGGATGAAGCCTTCAGAAAGCAGGACATTGATCCATGTCTGTTCTTGCAAAAGGCCCCGTGGAATGTTTGAGCTTTCCTGTCTGTGGCTTTGCTTTCTCCTTTTCCATTCTCTTACAACCCTTGAGAGCAGCTTTGTCTCTCTTAAGACCCTGAATTCAGGAGCACCTGTTTTCAGCCATAGCAACTTCCAGTGTTGTTGATGGTGGCAGCAGCAGCAGGCTGTCAGCAGCTGGGGGACAGCACAGAGGCACTGTAATTACCTGTGGATTTTGCAGGGCTTCACAGAATTTTATCCTTCAACTCACTCAAAAATGGTGGCTCTATCTGATTCTGCAGAGGTTGGACTTCTGTTAGCAGCATGTGCCTACTTGCCCCCAAATTTGATTGTTTTTTTCTGTTCAATTTTTTGCCTGTCTGCTCTATATTTGCAGCTCTTGGGGACTGGTTTAGTAAAGAAAAGGGAAGTAGAGCAATCTTTAATTATTTTCATGCCTCTGTTTCTAGAAGAATCCACTGCAGGGAACAGTATGCACAGGGTTCATGCTTCTAAGTGGCTAGCTCGTGCTCATACAGCCTGGCTGCATTCACACTAGCTAGTGTTTGTACGAACGCTCCTTGGGACTCTGCGGGACATGACAGTGGCCCTTGGACACATTTTTAATCTTTTCAAAGTGCCTGAAGACAGAAAAAAAATGCTGCAACCTGTCAGACAGTGCCCATATATTATGAAATGTAAAATAAATGTTTTATGAAGGTGTGGGAGGCTGCTTGCAGGCTCAAGGCCTGCCAGGCTGGTGCTGGCAGAGTGCAAGGTGAAAGGAGCCAAACCTCCTATCAAGCCCTCGCTGGACTAGTCTGTGCCCAGAGCTATATCCACACTTCATTGGGAAAAGCTTGAAAGTCCAGAGGTGCAAAAGCACCATAAGTGATCAGGGTAGAGTACCCTGTGTCTCTTGGGTGTAAATTATGCTCTCTAAAGTAATTTGGCTGGTGTATCTGAATCACTGACCACCAGATCCAGGATCGGAAAGAGCTCTCTGAGTTTAACAGACTGGTTTTCTAGGATGATTTGGGCATCCTTAACAGTTTTCTACTGTTTCAGAAGCCTTCAGCCATATGATACATTTCTTTCTGCATTTTTCTCTCCCCTACCTGTCATTGTTCGCCAGCAATGTGTGGGTAAAATATAATGGACCGTAACACAAAGTTTATGAAAAGTGTGTAGTAATTGAGGTTTTCTTTTTGCTTGTTTTTCACTCTCCCTGCTCCTTCTATCTTCAAGCAGTTCTGGAAAGAATTTGAAATTTGTTTCTCCCCAGGAATTTAACCTGCTGACAGGGATATGTACAGAGCAAGAAAATCTGCTGAATAATGTCCAGAAGAGAGTCGCTCATATCTTTTATTACTTTTTAACTCTCTGTGCACGTGCGTACACACACACACCATGTGTGTGTGTATGTGTATATACACACACACACACATATATATATAGGGCCAGATCACTAAAGGTCTGTGTATGTGCTTGCCTGATTCCTATTTAGAAGCCTAAATGTTGGGGTTCATTTCCATAAGACTGAATTTAAATGTTTTGTGCTGCTGTGCATCTTTTCCAATTATCCATGAAAAGCAACTGCAGCTCCATGCTGCCCCGTCCTTCCAATTCTCCTTTCTCTCAGCCTTGATCAAGCAGCTGATTGCTGAAGGACCATGTCTTTATTGTGTTTCAGGAATGGAGCATTGCAAAACTCTCCATTGAATATGATTCTGAACCATTTGGGAAAGAGAGAGATGCTGCAATTAAGAAACTGGCTACTGAAGCTGGAGTGGAGGTCATTGTTCGAATTTCCCATACGTTGTATGACCTAGACAAGTAAGTTACTGGTACCCTAGTTTTAAAGCCAAAAAAGGTATGACTCTTACTTTGCAGCATCAAACTAGATCCAGAATACCTGAAAACGTAGCCTTGTTTGGGATTCCTTTGACAATAATGACCCTGTTGATTAGGAAAGTGTCTTCATAGTGAAATGTCTCATTTGCTCTTGAAACTTTTCCAAAATAAGATGTATTGTAGTTCAGTATATGCCAATCATAGCAATTCAATACCATTTTTCCATATGCATTGCGTGCTAAAGACGTGGCTAAAAACATTTTTTTTTAAATGTTCTTACTTTAATTGCTGTATACAAGTAAGCTGAAAGTCTTTCAAGGAGTATTTTCTATCTGTTATATATTCAGTGAATAATTGGAGATCATTTGAAATCTCTGTTGCATTACTTAATGTCTTGTTTATATTTCTCTACAGATCTCTGTTTAAATGGATTAGCATTAACTCCCTATTATAGAAACATAATCCACAAACTATTCAAAAGTATGGCTTGCCTCCTCTTAATGTTGAGTAATTTTATGTGGTAGATTCCTGTTCCTCTTCCAGTAAAGGAGAAAATTCCCTTATTGCTCTTAAACCAATAGTTATTTTTTTATCATAATTTGAGAATTTCCTTTCTTTTACCCCTCATCCTCCTCTCTGGAACAGTTAGTTCCACCTAATATTCGTGTAAAATAGTTTTAGTGGTTTTTGTGTTTTCTGTTTTAAATGCACTTAAGGACAATGTAGAATGTAAAAATGGTGTTTTTTGACAGCGGATGTGGAATATAAACTTAAACTTAAATTTTTACCACGTTAAGCAGTTGTAGTATTGAATAGTGGTCTCTGTACTAAGCAAAATATTTTTCTATGCAAATAGCTTTTTTAAATTATTATTTTTTTTTAGTTGAACGCGTCATTATGTAGCTGTGGTTCATCTGTTGCTTTGCTGCCACATAATTTGTTTCCCATGAGCTGGGTATATTCATTAGTTACTCATTCTTGAGGGACTTTTCTCAACCTGGGAATTAAGAATAATTGACTTGTTGTAAGCGGTTAATTTCTATGTCTCCCTAGTGGCAAAGGATGGTAAAATTAAGGCTCAGGCTATCTAAATACCATGCCTATCTGCCTATATAATAAGGAAATGACAGATAATAAGATACTTTCTTTCTCTGTGTGTATATGAGTAGATAAATATCTGCATATAGTTCTGTAAGTAACACAGTAATATACATCTGTCTGACATACCTGTGGTGTTCTGCTTTGTTTTTCAAACACAGAATAATAGAATTAAATGGAGGGCAGCCTCCTCTTACTTACAAGCGATTCCAGACTCTCATTAGCAGAATGGAACCACTGGAGATGCCAGTGGAGACTATAACTCCGGAAGTAATGGAAAAATGTACGACTCCAGTTTCTGATGACCACGATGAGAAGTATGGTGTTCCGTCGCTGGAAGAGCTAGGTATATTTTAAGACTTCTTGATGTTGTGTAACAGATCAGCCTTAATCTAGCATTCAGGGCATAATGTTTAAAGTAACCACATGAGAGAGGTTCTGTGATTTATTGTTGAACTGGTACCAATTACAGCATACAAAAGGAATGGAAAAACGTAATCCATTTTGCAAATTCAAAGTTGTTGTGGGTTTTTTTTGGGGAGGGCGGGGAGCGCAGTATAAATTTTTTAAATGACAGGTCAAGCTACGCTAAATACTACTTCATTTCATGTACTGTAGCATAGTTTGGTGTCTTGTAGCTGTTCTACTATGATACTGAATCATAAATAAACTACTAATAGTCTTTGATACTTCATTTTGTATTAAACACATTTGGTATCTTTGTGCTTCAGATTCTTAGTTTGTCACTTTGGAAGTTAATTTTAAAAAGACCAATCTTGTCTTGAAGTGCCCGAAGAAGTTGTAATAAGGCAAATCAATAACGAAGGCTGATTTGTCTTTTGCTTTTCTATTTCTTCTGCATTGGCCAAAAATGCTATTTCCTGGAAGATTTCTGGGACTGAGACTAATATGTTGTACTCTGCAACATATAGTATTAATAATTGAACAGGCATGGATTTTAATCCAGATATTACCAAATTTAGTTTTAAGACAAACTCTTGCCCTCCTTCCCCTCTCCTCTCTTTCACCATGAAATATGGCCTGAGCTCCAAATTGCTGACAAAGGCATCTGGAGAACTTCTGGCTATGCTGCTCTGCTTGGTGGTAGTCCCCATGAGCTCTTGCATAACAGACCTTGCTTTCAAAGCTCTTTAATGCTATACAGTGGTTAATTTATAGGTGGGTGTGCTGTCTTATGCACCTGATGAACAATCTCTGAAAAAGGAGTCAAAAAATTGTGGTATCTTCTAAACTTTTTCAACCAACCTCCTGCCTTCCCCTGATTGCAAAAAGGTTTTGGTAATTCTTGCTTCTTCCTAGTAATTTGGGAAATGGAGGTAAAAATCATGATTTTGGGGATGTTTTTCATATTGCAGAGCTGAGAATTTGAAAATAATGTGAAAAATTAATGAAAGAAAGGTTGCTTTCTCTTTCTTTCGAAAGACAAGATAAGCTGAATCAAAATAAAATCATTCTGCATTCAACTTCATAATGGAATGGAATTAGTGCCTCTAGCTAGAAGCTAAGTGATCTAATGTGGTTTGATTCTACTTGGTTGCATTGGCAAATACTGTTTTTAAAACTTTTATTTTGCCACATGTTCAACTTCAGGCTCTTTTCAACATGCAATATAAATGTATCCCAGCATCAGAACACAATACTTTTGTTGCCCTACAGTGTAAACAAACAAGGAGTTTCCTAATTTTAATTTGTCTTGCAGGTTTTGACACAGATGGTCTGCCTTCTGCAGTATGGCCAGGGGGAGAAACGGAAGCTCTGACTCGGCTGGAACGACATTTAGAGCGAAAGGTATCTTACAAATCACCGTAAAAGAAGGACTTAGTTACCTGGAAAACAGAGTTGCTCTTTGCAATTAAATGCAAATTTGACAAACTTAGAATCAAGGCCTGTATGCAATGATATAAATCAATCTGCTTTTTCTTGGTTTTGCCTGTTGATAGCAGGTTGTCTCCTGATTTTAATTTTTGAGAGAGTGTTTTCTACTGTGAAAAGCAGAGTATAGAGCTTGTTTTTATTGGAGGTCGTCTTACTTGAAACACAGTTTCTGCTTATTTTCAGGAGGGATTTTCTGCTGTATTTAATAGTCAATTTTGGAGGACAGGCCATGCCTTCTGCATTGGGATGAACTATCTTTGAAAGATTCCCTTGGTGCAAGAGGAACTGCTAAATAGCATAGATAACATGATCAACTGTCTAGTGTCTAGATTCAGTTATAGCTTTATATGTTTAGTGTTTGATTTATCCCTTTATCTTGTATGCAGTTACTGAGTCTCTGATCTGATGTTGGTGTTTTCAATTCCTTAGGCTTGGGTTGCAAACTTTGAAAGACCTCGAATGAACGCAAATTCCCTTCTGGCAAGTCCTACGGGGCTTAGTCCCTACCTCCGTTTTGGTTGTTTGTCCTGTCGTCTCTTTTATTTCAAGTTAACGGACCTGTATAAAAAGGTATCATTTCTGCACAGTCAGCTTCTTTCTTAGATGCTGTAATTCCTCTTCCCTTGTGCCCTTTTACTAATAAAATGTTTTTCTTTAATGGTGGCTTTCAGGTAAAAAAGAACAGCTCCCCTCCCCTCTCTCTCTATGGCCAGCTGTTATGGCGTGAATTTTTCTACACAGCAGCAACTAATAATCCACGATTTGATAAAATGGAGGGAAATCCTATCTGTGTTCAAATTCCCTGGGATAAGAATCCTGAGGCTTTGGCCAAATGGGCGGAAGGCAGGACAGGTTTTCCCTGGATTGATGCAATTATGACGCAGCTTCGCCAGGAAGGCTGGATTCACCATTTAGCTCGGCATGCTGTGGCTTGCTTTTTGACTCGAGGTGACCTCTGGATTAGCTGGGAAGAAGGAATGAAGGTAACGTTTCTCATTGTTTAATTTTTGTTAAGGTGCCTCTTAAAGTCTCAGAAATTCATTTTAGAGTTATTTTTACTGTACTGTATAAGTTCAAAATGTAAAACTTAAGCTGCAAACAAAGTTGAATCATTTTGATCAAGCCCTGAAGTTTTGCATTTTGAATGAACTTTACTGGAATATTTCTTGCACTCAAAGCAGCTCTGCAATTCTTTTAAATCTGAGAGTTCTTCCTAAATCTTTGCAAATAAATATGAATTATTTTAATTGTAGTTTTTTTTTCCTGAGTGAGCAGTTTCTGTTTACCTCTCTAACATCCCTGTTCCTGTTAAGGAAAACCACCTTAATTAGACTTAATCTCCACTTAATTAGAGAATTAAGTAGAGAAAAGTAAAGATTGTGAATGTGTCCTGTCTTCCACTTCTTATCCTACAGTCTCATGATACCAGTGTGCACAGGGGCAATATGGTTTGGCAGTAGTTTCAGTGCAGTTGCTTTCTATCAAATGTCCTGCATGCCTGGATGTTCGAAGAACAAATATTAGTCTTTTTTTTGAAGAAAAGAATGGATTGATTTATTCTCTGCCCTTTGCATCAGTTTTTTTTTTTTTTTAAGGTAGAACTTTATTGAAGAATAATTGTCAATAAAGGCTACTGTTATTTTGAAAATTTTAAGAACAATTCCTTTTTTCCATCAGGGTTGTTACTTAGTATTTATGTGTGTATATAGTCCTATGAAATTTCACCTTTCCAAACAGATAAGTTGCAAGCAAACACTTTGCAAAGAAAAAAAAAATCTTTGTTATACAACAACATAAGCTGCTTTAGGAATTTTCCTTCTGCCTTCACGGGAACAGACACAGCAGATACAAACGTATATGTAACAGTTAAATGAAGACTGAATCTGAATTTTACAGATAAAAACCGAATTGTTCTTACTCTTCATTATTCTGTATTACTTCAAAGGTCCAGACTTTTGCAGTGCAAGGTGGTGTAATTTAGACATCCGCAGCTAGCAAAAATTAATCTGGCTTTCTGAGCGACACTGTTTGCTAAGTCTGACTACATAGCAGCATCTAGTGGAACAGTTGTGTACTAACATATAATATTGCTTTCATGTAAAGATCTTGGTACAATATTAGTTACTTCCTGTTTAAAATGTTTCTAAAAGTACTTCTTAAAACTCATTTTTAAAAACAAATATTCTTTTCTAATGGTTGCATATGTTCAGGCAAAGATACTTTAATAACTCTTATTCAGTGTGTAGTGCAGTATGAATACCCTATTGAGTAAATGTTGAGAGATCCTTTTTGAATGGTATTACCTTATTTAGACTTTATATTAGATTAAAACTAGTTGAAATTAGGTTATAATAGTAAGATATGTTAAGTTTTAGTGTCTTTGAAGAAAGTTCCAGGTTTTCCTGGAACACTTGGAGGTTGAAAGGAAAATAAGGATTTGTGGGGAAAAAGATCTACTAAATAAGTATCTACTTTTCAATGCCTCCTCCCCCCCCCTTTTTTTTTTTAATAAAAAGGCCTTCAATGATGTTATTCAAATTATAATTTTTTTTTTCTCTCCCTTTTTATTTTTATTTCTCTCCTCTACCCCTTCTTGTGAGTAGTAGATCACTACTTTTGGTAGTGATCTCACTGAGCAAAGGATTTTTTTTGTGCAAGTTCGGATTATCTGTATTAATTTTTTAAAAATCAGTGCTAGAAACATGACTGTTCAGAAGTATTGAGTATTTAGAGTAAGACCTTGAAAATTCCCAAGTTCTTCTGGGGATCTTTTTAAGGGAATAGGAGTAGCAATTGCCAGAGAAGACATTTTTGTCTTCTAACCAGATTTCATTACCTGTCTTGACCATTCCTCAGTGTGCTTGGTAGCTAATATACCTCCAGGAATTGGTACTGACATCCTCAAAAGTGGGGCTTATTAGAACAATTAGTGGCCTTCAGAACCTCTGCTTCTGAATGCCTGTGCTGCCCTGGATTTCTTGGATGTTACTCCTGGGTCTCCCCGCATAGCAGAAGCTGCTGAGGAAGCTCCAGTCTCCAGACAGGCCATTTGAGCTTGAAATGTGTGCCCATTGGCTCCCTGTTCTTTGGAAGTCTGCAAAGCTTACTCGGTTGTAAAACAAAGAAGCAGCTCTCCTAAAAACAGCAACCAAAAAACTTGTGAAAAATTAGACTCGAGCCATCCTGTGGGAGATCTATTGTGAAAGATGTGCAAAAATGTGTAATTTCTTGCCAAAAATCTCAATGCTAAGAGCAGGTTTTTGTATGGGGAGAGCTACACAGGTGCTTTCACCATTGTCCTTGGATTTGGCTTTTAGATAAGTAATTGCACTTGTGTGCTGAGCATTTGGTGAATGCTGCCAGGTTAGAAAGAGCACTGTCATGTTGAAGAGTGTGACTTTATCTGCTGAAATCTGAATCTCTGAACACTTTCTGTGAATAGATATTTCAAAGCTGTTCTCATCTCCAGGCTAATTTGGTCCTCTTAATTTCTCAAGGTGTTTGAAGAACTCTTACTTGATGCAGACTGGAGTGTGAATGCTGGAAGCTGGATGTGGCTCTCCTGTAGCTCCTTTTTTCAGCAGTTCTTTCATTGCTACTGTCCGGTGGGTTTTGGCAGAAGAACTGACCCAAATGGAGATTACATCAGGTAATTCACAGTCCAGAAACTGCAATGCATCATTAAATTTGCTTAAACTCTAAATGGCTTTATATTTTAAATGTCCTCTTTGCTTCTTTCAAGACGTTATTTGCCTGTACTCAGAGGTTTCCCTGCAAAATTCATCTATGATCCTTGGAATGCACCAGAGAGTGTCCAGAAGGCTGCCAAATGCGTTATAGGAGTTAATTATCCCAAGCCCATGGTGAACCATGCAGAGGCGAGCCGGCTCAACATCGAGAGGATGAAACAGATCTACCAGCAGCTGTCACGATACAGAGGACTGGGTATAGCTAGAGGCTACTTGCTTTATTTATTTGAAAAATTATCTTTTTTTTCCTTGCCTAATAGTTTTGTCCCATCGCAATGATAATCATTTGTGAGCTCTATGTTGTGATGGGGGTTGTATATCCAAATAAACTGAAATACTAGATTTGTAACCAAGAAGGAGGGAGGAAAAGGCAGCTTGCATGGGAATGCCTCTTTCCATGTCTTAACTTGCCTAGAGAACTACTTTTCAGTGGATTTGTGGAAACTTCTTTTTGAACTGGGTATTCTGAGCATTGTAATTCTCTCGTACAGCTTCACAGTAGGGATTAGAAATTGGAAGCAGTTATAGCGTTTGCAAATGCTCGAATAGGCTGATGACAACTCTGGTAGCATTCTTCCTGCTTTGGAGGGGGGAAAAAAAAAAAAGCTTTTTGTTGGCAAATAAATGGTCTGCCCTTGTGTTGCTCACCAAGGGGTGAGCAAAGCAGCCTGTGTATTCTCGTGGTACTAGGTATAGAATTGGGAGTCATTGCCCTCCCATGTAATACAGCGAATTTATGCAACTGAAGTGTGCTGTAGAGCTCAACCAGAATATTTTGTACAAAATCCCATTAAATTTTGTGAACTAAAATTACCTGGTAGCATCCCAAGCATTTCTGGGGATGAAGAGTTGCTCTCCAGTTAAGAACTAGCTATTAGGAGAAGCAAACATGCTACACTAAACCTCTTTTGCTGTCTGTCTTTATACCTTTGAATTTTATTTTGTTGCTTAGGTCTTCTTGCAACAGTGCCTTCTAATCCAAATGGAAATGGAAACGGTGGCCTAATGGGATATTCACCAGGAGAAAACATTTCTGCTTGTAGTAGTACAGGAGGTCAGTAAGATTCTTATTCCACAGAGGTATTGGAAGTGAACTGCACAAACATTGTATGTCTTATCGGAAAGAGATGTCGTCAGACGTGGTTTGAAGTGCAGATGAGTTGAGCATTTTCAGGTGTATTAAGTTTGTTAATATTTGTATAAAGAAATCCTCAGTTCTTTTATATGAGAAACAAATACAAGGTGCTTTTTTTGTTGTTGTTGTTTTTCCCGAATTATAAATTAACGTGTATCAATTTGATTTCAAAAGCCTTAGAACACGTGATCTTGTTTTAGAAATCAACAAGCCATTTGACATTTATGGTGAATAGTGATTTTTTTTTTGAATTCTTTTAAGTCAAACCTGTTACTTTGAGTCTTTTAATGCTAGCGTTAAATTGATCATTGGAATCTGTAAGTCTACGATATTGTCAACAGCAGTACGGTGGACAGTGTCTGTGAGTACATGATATCTAACTTATCATATAATTTTGATGAAAATTACTTTAGGCTATTAATATTCTTTATGTAATTTAGACTAGTATTAACAAGTTACTTGGAAAGAAATACAAAATGAGCACATTTATAATATTATATAAATCTGTAGCGCACCAGCACGCTGAATACCATTTCCCTTTTAAAAGGGTGCAGTAGAAGTGAAAATTTGCTGGGTTTATGTTCAGAGCAGGGTATAGAGGAAGAGGTACCTTCTTGGTTTGACTAAGCCAAGCTGCTGTTAGAGAATAAACATCTAGACTTCTAGAAGCTGGGTGCTTGAGCTTTGCTTTGTGTATTTTAAGTTTGGGGTTTTAATAGACAAGGAGAGCTTAATTCAACAATCTTAAGTGCCCTTTCTTTCTCGCTTAAAATACATCAGTATATAAGCTTTACTTACCTGCCTTATATCAGGAAGGTGAGGGTCACCTACTGCGTCTCAGATTACGATATTTGTCTGAATTTGCCTAGTGCAAACCATTAAAGGCCCTTTGGATCTCTATTGAGATGACTTTTTTTTTTTTTTTTTTAATGGGGTGGAAGAACAAAAAAAGGCGCACTTAAACCTGACCTCTGGGGGATAATACTACTCGTAACTCTAAAACAGGAGTTGTATATGCTAAAACATAGGTTTTGGTGATGCGTAAGTGTCTCTTCTCACCTTTCCCAGGAGCTCAGTTAGGAACAGGTGATGCTCATGCTGTTGATGTTCAGACATGTGCCCTGGGAGATTCTCATGCTGGAGCAAGTGGAATTCAGCAGCAAGGTATTATGACAGTACCTGTCTATAGAGGCTTTCCAAAAATCTTAATCCAGAACAATATTCATATATTGTTCTGTTATTGGAGAGGGCAAAATAACAGGTATAGCTTAAAAATCCATTAGCAGATATCTTGGATTACTTGAAATGCAAGATAATTAAAGAAGAATTAATGTTTGTGCTTTTGATAACAAAACTTTCCTGGTGTTTATCCCATCTTTCCTATATCAATCTCCAATGTTTTGTCTGGATATTATTATATAATAGAAGGGGTTTTTTAAAATTATTATTTTTATTACTACTTTAACTACACACAATTCCAGCTGTGGTTTGTAGTTGATCAAAATTGCAGGCAGATTTATCCCAACTGTCGTCTTTTGCAGTCTTGATGGAGGTTGTGTATTAATGAGTCATGAAATGCTCTTTAAGTGCCCAGAATGTAACTGGAACACAGTAACTCTTCAGAATAAGAGAACTTGCTGCTGCTTTTGCCTTTGTGTTTTTTTTTTTTTTTCTTCCCCCCCTTACTTATTCAGAAGGGTCCATGTCTGGGTTGCCACTTGACGTGAACAAGAAAATGGTTTGTGTCTTTATGTAACTTCCATTTTTCCACAGCTAAGCTACATTATTTAACAAATCTTTAATAAAAAGGATGATGAGAGTTGGCAGTACAAAAGTTAAATTATGTAGCAGCTTAGAAAATGGTAACAACCCAAACACCTTATGCTTGCCACAAGGAAAAGGTAATATATCCTAATACATTGCTTTACACGTAATTAATAATAGCACTTTTGAATTACTGGATGTTGTCTCATGAGTTTTGGGTTTTTTTTTTTTTTTAATTGAACTTTTCTTCATTCAAGATTTTCGTCAGTGTTTTTCATGGTGATGGTTGAAAATGAATTGGCTTTTTTAATAAATCTTAAAGAATGTAATTGTACCCTTAGTTCTGGTTCTAAATTTTATTATGATAAATATCTACTGTATCTGAACAGGTTACTGTCCAGCAAGTAGTATCTTACACTACGCTCATGGAGACAATCAACAATCACATTTACTGCAAACAGGTAATTAAAGAAAAAAGGTTTCCTGTATACATATAAAGGCACAATAGAGTCTTAAGTATTGGTTTTAAATTATCAGGAAGAACATCCCTTGGTACTGGCATTAGTGCAGGCAAACGCCCAAATCCAGAAGAAGAAACTCAGAGCATTGGGCCAAAAGTCCAGCGACAGAGCACAAATTAAACTGGTAAGAACTGAGAAACTTCAAAGTTATCCTGTTAGTTGTCAGTAAGTGATTGTACAGATTTTTGCATCTATTAAAACCACTTGTATTGCTGCAATGCTAAGTACTTTAGATAATTGTTGCAGATTTTTCAGTTTCCAGTGCTGTGCAAATGTTCAGCCTGAATTCTGGCCCTAGAAAATTTGCAAAGTAAGAGACAGGAACTAGAAGGCTAGATCAAGATAGAAAAATAACAGATACCTTATTTGAGGTGCCAGAGAAACAGAGATGCATGAACTATGCATGCTTTGGTTTACATTGGCAGAGATGCCTTATGTAGCCTCATGTATTATCTGCCTCTTAATCTTGCCTTAGGCTGTAGCAACACTGCTTGTCAGGACATACAGTCAGCTGCATCAGAAAACTAACAGAGCTTAAAGGAAAGTCCCAGGACCTGGAGTAAAGCTTTAGGTGTGCAAATTGGGAAGGCCATGTTGTAAGAGGCTGTGTTTAAACCAAACCCAAACAAACAAAAACCCAGCACCACTGATGCAGTTTTTGGTTTCTTGTCCTGGAGACTTTTTGTCGCTGGTCCATAATCCCAGCAGGATGCTTAGGTTGCCAGAGTTTGTCAAGAAAAGTAGAGAATTGTGTAAATTTTGATTTGTGTGAAATGATCAACATAAATAAGATTGCGTTTTGCACTTTGGATACAATTACTTGGAAGGAGGGAGAAGGGAAGAGGACAGAAGACAGTATACCCTTCCCTGTGAGCTTGAGTTCGAATAATTAGAAAAATCACTTAATTAGTCTTTAACATGCTTTAACATGCTAGTCTTTAACTTGCTCAGAAGGGAAGCCAGGAAAGGATGTCAGTCTGAAATGAGAAGGGACAAGATTTCAGGGCCAGGAGTTATATAGAATAAGGAGGTGACATGTCATTCCATCCTTATCTGCCATAGTTAAGAACTGGTCATTATGGAGTTCGGAGAAAGTAACGGATAGAGACATAACGGGTGTAGAGCCTTTGGTGGAACTGGGAGATAGGCCATACAGCGCTTGCAGAAAGCACCTTCAGCATCTCTAGAGATAAAATAACAAATTCAATCCTTTATTTGATTTTGACAGCAAGATCTAATTTTGCTTGTAGTGCAGCATCGACATTTTGACAAAGTTATTGCGGTGCATTACGAATAGTTGTGTTGTACAGACTTGATTCAGTAGAGAGCTCCAGCGTTGCTCCCTGGGAGCCTCCCGTTCTCCATTGCTCAGAGAAGTGAGCTGAGATCCTGCTGCCTGAGCCAGCTCCTGTTCTTCCCATAGATATGGGGCTGTGTCAAGTGGCTTTTATGTTCTCAACACAGCTGCTGGCACTCGGATGGGCTGAAGCGGAGCATGAGTCCAAGAGAATACTTGTTTTGATAGGTGTCTAATTCTGAATATGTGTAGATTTCATTCAGCATCCATGTTTTGTATTGCAGAATTCCTTAAGTGTAAGAATTCCTTTTCCTTTGTAAAGGTGATGCCTGTAGAGTGAACAGCTGCCTCCTTTATAAGCTCCTATTCAATGGAGAGATGAGTTGGAGAGGTGTCTAGTTCTGCAGAGAAGGCTGATTCTCTGTTAGGGGCATCAAGAGCATTAGAATGGGATTTGAAGTCAGGCAAGATTGAAAAGCACTGCTGGCAAATAGGTGCACACTTTGTG